CCGGCTGCAGGAGCGCCTGGCGCGCGCCCGCGCCCGCCGCCACGACGTCATCGTCGGCGTCGCCGACTCGGTGGCCACTGACCTGCTCGCGGCGGCCGCCGCGGTGGCTGCGGCTGCGGTGGCGGTGGCTGACCCCAACATCCTCGCGGCGAAACCTACTTCCACTGCTGCTGCTGGTGCTGCTGGTGCCGGTGACGTCTACGGCGGTGACGTCTACAGTGGTGACGTCTACAGCGGCGGCGGCGGCGGTCGTGCGTCCCCATATTACCCGCCGTCCATTCGCAGCGATGTGGGTAGCGTCGGTGCCGTCAGCCTCGCTACCGGATCCTTCGCGCTGGGCTCCGCGTGCAGTACCACCGCCACCGTTGCCACGACCAGCATTGCGAGCATGTACACCACCCCCACGAGCAGCGTGACCTCGCTGCTGGTCGTCAGGGGCCAGCGGGGAGGAGACAAGGGCCGCGGCGGTGCCCAACAGAGAGCTGGCCGGATGGGCGGTTCCGGAGACGCGGCCCCAAAGAGAGCACCCAAGATCCTGGTACGGCGGCGGGGCTGTCCTTGATGTTCCCAGCACGTACACGCTCCTCACAGGCGGCTTGAATGCGCTTTTCGCTCTTGTTCTTTTCTCTCATCCTCCCCTCTGTCTTGTTCCGTTTATGGCTTGTTTCGGATGCCTCACATTCCGTTTTAGAAATTTCTTGTTCCTTCCTTTCGCTCAAACTCTTGCTTACCTGGAAGGGGGGCTTTTCGTACAATCTACAAAAATATCAACGCAAATGATGGGGAGATTGCCCGATCCAGCGAACCCCGTGAGCCAAGGGGCAATCGTTTATCCACCATGGCACCATTGAACGATCTCGCGATGTATATGTGGATAGGTATCACGCAAGAGTATCCGGCCGAGATCGGACCCCCTACCATCAGAATGTCAATGCTGGGTGCCAGTTACCTGTTACTCGAGAAGGCACTTGAAACCGCTTCTACCACGTATGGGCCGGCCAGCCGGCAGATGAATGCGGCAAGAAGATTGTCTAATTTGGGCGCTTGGATCAGGCCGAGAAAGGGTCGGTTCCGAAGGGGAGGCAGCCGATGGTTGGCCAGTCCGGCCTGGGCTGAACGAACAAAGGTCCGAGGGCTGGGAACGGTGATTGATGTCGTTGATCTGAATCCATGTACCTGGTCTAGCGTGACATGGCAGGCTAAATCATCTCGATGGTTGGTTGGACGGATCGCAGGCCGGAGATGTCGTATCCAGAATGTACGCACGCAAGCATGCGTGTTTGAGCCAATTCCTGTTTGTCTCGAGGCTGGTCCAATCAAGGGGCTGGCTCGATCTCCGGCCAGGGCCAGCGAGTGGAATTAATGGCTGTGGCGTGTAATACCACGCGGGCCTGGACCGGGCCCTTGCTTTGCTTGCTCTTCCATCACCGTGCAGCAGGGCATGGCATGGGATACGCGACAATGCAGGCCCACGGCTAGCCCCGTCACGCGTATCTCGGCAGCGTAGCAGCGTCTGGCGCGAGGTCCAGGTGCCAGGAGCTCGGCTGCGGCTCTAATGAGTGCACGCTAGTGACGCAGGACTGGTTGGATGAGGGGCATGAGACCTAGCGGTTGGGCTGAAAAGTCCCCCATCAGACTAGCGGTCGGAGTCAGGCCCGGGGGCGTGGTCGTCAAGACTGGTTCAGGAGAGGCTCGGCAAGGAGTGCTCGTCTGGTTCTCCTTGCCTGCCGAAGAGATGTCCGGGAGAGGCAGGCGGTGACGTGTCAACTAGCTAAAAGGGGCAGCTGCCCAACAGAGACCGGAGGTTGGCGGGGATGTTTGGGGCCCAGTTGTGGGTGGGTTTACATGGGTATCCAATCAGCAAGGCTTGGTGAGGGTGATCCTCGCGCGCAAGATGTGGCAGTGACGATCGGGTAATGGAAGGCAGACACCCACAACCGGTGTGATACATCTGACGAGCGTGCAGCAGCTCAGGCCAGACAGCGGAAAGGGGCTTGGGCCACATGACTGGCTCAGCCGGGTTTGGAGGCATGTTGGCACGTTGGCTTATGTTTGATCACATCACAAATCCGGTTGGCAAAAGTATTACCCTCTTGAGCCGGTTTAATTCAGCAGGCACATTAGATGAGTAGGGATCGCAGAAGTTATTTTCACGCAGTGGCTTGATAATAGAGTTACCTCATCCGAAGCCATTTTCCAGACCATTTGTTGAATTAACCCGGCTTGAGGGGGTATAATGACTAGAGGGATAGGAGACGCAGGTAAGGGTTGCTGCCATCCAAAGAGACGCGCAGGCACGCTGCGATGCACGAAAGCAAGGGAGCATCAAAGTCGGGCGAACGGGATCGCGAGATCCGAGCGTCAAGAAGCAAAGACAAGGAGAAAAAAGGAGGAGATTGGCGCGGCCAGGGATCGGCACATCTGCGCATGGTAAAATGAGAGCCACATCGTATGCAGGCGACAGAAGGTAAACAGGGGAAGGGGACAGGCGGAAGAATGGAAGGGCAATAAAAAAAAGCAAAGAAGAAGAAGCAAGCAAGGAAAGAGGGGAAGGGCAAAAAGTTTTCCCCCTTTAAAAAAAGAAAAAAAAAGAAAAAAAAAAGAAAGGTTATTCGAAGAGAAAATAAAATAAACTAAAATAAACTGGAAACAAATCAAAAGTAATGAGAGTGTGAGAGAGAGTGCAGACAGAGTGACAGAGTTCAGGCGGAAGTGTGGGTGGAAATGGCATCCATGTTTGTCGTGCTAGTGCTAGACCTAGTCTGATCAAAGCAAGATGACACAAGGCAAGAGATCGGAAGGCAGGCTAGCGTCGAGGTGAGCGAGCGGCCTGGGCCGGTTATCCACCTGGTAGGCGAGAGACGTCTGTTCTCGCTCTCGGGGTACGGCACCAGCCATGTGCTCAGTAGCTCAGGAGTACGGCATGGGCATGGATGGACTGGATGGGTGTGAATGGGCATGGACATGGGACAAGGGCATGGGCACGGTATAGTGGGCAGGAAGGGAGGACTAGCTGACTGCACAATGGAATCCGCCCGGGTGGGCTGCCGGGCAGGGCGTCATGTCGCACGGCCAAGAAGGGGCGGCGGTCTGCGGGATGCGTTCCGCTGCGGTCTGCCATGTCGGGGCCACAAAGGAGGGAGTCGTGCGTCAGGTGGATCCGGATCCTTGCCGCAGTGTGCAGGGCACATATGGCACCACCACCCGAGCGTCACTTGCAGGCCACGCGCACATCAGCGCCGGCGGCAGCAGGGACTGGCACGACTGGTGGGTGGATGGCGGGCGTGCATGATGTGATGACTGCGAGCGAGCCTACCTTGATGCCCGTCTGCCCGTCCGTCCGTTAGTTCGTTTGTCGTCTGCCTGCCAGTCTGTCTGTCATGGATGCTGGCCCGCCCTGCGTGTGCGCCGCCTGTTTGAGATGCTGCTGCTGATGCCGCTGCTGATGCCACCACGACCAGAGACACACCCATGGCTCGCGACAGCACCCGCGTCTGTAAGTTGACCAAAGGGGAAGTTTGGGGGCTTCGAGTGACGGGGTTGAGCTTGGTTGAGCTTGGTTGCGAGCAGCCCACTCGAAAAGCAGGGGGGAGGGGTTGCGGGGATCAAGACCGAAATCCCGCCGCTGGCGTTGGCGACTCGCCAACACGATAGAGCACAGCACTTGGGCCAGGGAAGGTGGACGGGCAGCAAAATAAAATAAAATATTAAATAAAAACGAGAGTGCGTGCAAAGAGGGAAGCACCGTCTGTGCGTGTGGGGAGCTTGGGTGGGCCCGCCCTAGCTCAAGGGTCACACAGGCTCCAGTCCTCCTTCCTGCCTGCAGGCGACCAAGGATGTTGGGAAACCGGCCAAGCAGGCACTTCGCTCCGCACATGCTCTGCCACTCTGCCTACGTCTTGTTGGCAGCGCGAAGTGAGGCTGACTTATCACTTCTATACCATGCTCGAATAATGGGTGGCATTCAAACAGGTGCCTCGTCCTTTCCCGATCCGGTCCAGGCGACCTTGGACCTATGCACACCGGTCAGCAAGAGACGACCACCCATGCCGCCCGCGGGCCAATGGGCCAGGCGCGCCAATCGATCACACGCACAAACACATGATCCACGCAGCGGCCGAGAGGCAGAGAGTATGGGGTGGCGAGAAGAGAAACACAAGAGTGACAAGGCTGCTTCCCTGCCGATGGTGGGATGGGGGAGAGAGAGAGAGAGAGAGAGAGAGAGAGAGAGAGAGAGAGAGAGAGAGAGAGAGAGAGAGAGAGAGAGAAGAAGAAAGAAAAGAACGAAAGAAACAAA